CTAAACTATGATCATCACATCCTAGTAACACATCACCACATGGTATCGCATTCCCTTGGTGTGACTGACTGGGAACTGTGGCACACTGCTACCACCAGCATCACAAATGAATAATGCACCACAAACAGAGAGTGAGAGAAGTCAAATCTCAAAACTCAAAGTACACTTTCTATTGAACATATACATACATCATAAAGTCAAAAGACAATATCCATCCTAAACTGCAGTCTATCTATATTGAACATATCAAAAAGGAAGAAATCTGAAATTCTTAAAAACTGGACTTAGTGTGGAGTTAGTCTGTGAGTTAAGGTTGTTCATGGCCCATTTATTTTGGAATTTGAATTAAATCTCTCTTTTACTCTCATCTTCTGGCATGGCTGCTTATAGATATGTCAAAATTAAGCAATAGTTTCCCATGCTAAATTGCAAATACCTAGATATGCAGAAAACTGCCTAGTAGACTTGAATAGAAATTTTACAAACCTATTTTCTTCAGTCACTTATTCACTTCTTAAGCATTTATGGATAGCTTAAATCATGAGGCATTTTTCTGGGTCATAGAGACCCCAAAGTGACCAAGCGCCACCAACAGGTAGGGAAGCATTAGTTATTTCTTTTTACCTACAAGTTGTTGTTATCTGCAAATAATTTCAATATATTACAAAGATTGATGTTTCAGAAGAAAATAATGTAGATACATAAAGTATAAGGAATATGATAGTCTTAACTTTTGAGAAACTCTGTCTGTGAGGTGGTTAGAATGATTCAAAGACAAAACAATCTGCAATTGATGTTAACTAAAATTCAAAACTACAGTAAGTTAAAACAATGTAATAAAATTAAAACTCAGGGCCTAAGGAGATAGTATAGAGGACAAAGCTGCTCGCCATAAGCCTGACAACTTGAGTTTGATCCCTAGGACCCATATGATAGAAGAAGACAATCGATTCTCAAATATTGTATTCTGACCTCCACAAACACACAATGGCACATCTGTGCACACATACAAACACATAATAATTAAAATAATAAATTTAAATTTTTAAACATTGATCTTGTTTTATGAAAGGTTGTTCTAGACTATTACTTTCTTAAAAGATATGAAAGATTACATTCACCTCAGAGCTGTTCAAATATAAACCAAATGAAACTAAACCAAAGTAATTTAATAACCTTCTAAAACAGTTTGTATTCATTTCAAAGTCAATATCTAGAGAGTAAGTCTTTTCAAACCATGGAGTTAGGTGCTAAAAAAACCTCTTTGTCTCTGCCAACTGAGAAACCAGATAATATTTAAAGACATATTCTGGGAGTGGTACTGTATGCCTTTAATCCCAGCATTTAGGAGGCAGAGGCAGGCGGATCTTTGTGAGTTTGGGGCCAGCCTGGTCTACATAGTGAGTTCCAGGACAGCTGGGGCTACAGGGAGACCCTGTCTCAAAAACAAAACAAAACAAAACAAAACAAAACAAAACAAAACAAAACAAAACAAAACAAATGCCATTCAGGACCCTGATAATTAAGTAAGTCAGCCAACAACTTGAGGCCATCTTATTCCCAAGGAACCACTGTCTGTGGGAAAAAGACTATCTTCTGTGTGTGCTTGATGTCCTGCTCCATGCAGGCCTCTCGGAGAAGTTCTGTCAAGGAAGTACTCGTGGTGGGATCCAGCTTTGGAACGTGCCATCTTTAGCAAGTGCAAGAAGCCGCATGTCTACACTGTCTTAAGACTAGCCTAAGAGAGTAAACATACTTTAAAAATCGGAAACAGTTACTACATGGTTATGAAAAGCAGAAGATTACAAATGAATTCTTTTGTTTTTTTTTTTTTTTTTTTTTTTTGTTTTTTGTTCTTTTGGAGACAAGGTCTCCCTGTAGCCCCAGCTGGCCTAGAACTCACAGAGATCTGCCTGCCTCTGCCGACACTAGCTGGACAACAAGTCTCTTGATATTGTCTCTACTCCCAGTGCTGAGATTACAGGCATGCATCACCACACTGAATATCTCTATGTGTATTTTGGGGATGAATTTAGAGTCCTTATGCTATTAAGGCAAACACTTTAACAACAGAGCTATCTCCCCAGTAACAGAATAAATTCCCAAATGGATTTTTTCTTAACTTTTCTAATCACTGTAGTTATTTTAAGCTTGGGAGTAGACACTATACACCATGTCTGTAAGTAATGGTAAACATAACAAATGAGGTTGAAATGAAAGAGTCAATATTCTATCATTATCTTTGACTATTCACAGATTTGGAATGGGGGCAGATAACTCTCGGTTTACACTGACGCTTGAATTTCTAAAAGTACATTCTTTTGCATGATTTATATTTTAAGTAACAGGTTTATAGTAGATAAATACATAATCAAATAACTTCAGATGATACTATTTCATATCACTTGGTGCAAAGGAAAAGAAACTAGATTGAAATATAAATAGGAGATGTTTGTTGCTGCCAATATTTTCTGAGTGCTTACTACCAAAATACCTTTGACTTCAGATCCATTATTTATAAGAATAATTTTCAAGGTGACATTTTGAGACCAAATTTCGTGATTATTTGTAAAGGCATATAATAATATATATATTAATACCAAAAAATGTCCAAAATAAACCTTTCCAGGCTATGTTAATGTTATACTTCCATAATTAGCATGGCATTTGTAAACACATGTACTTTTTAACAGTTTGATTTGATTTCTTAAATAGGTAAAATACACCTCATTTTAATGCAAAATATTAGAGTCAAATCTAAATTCTAATATATTCACAAACATAATATCACAAAGTTTATTTTCAGGTAGATTTTATTGAACCTGGAAGATAAGGATACCAAAATTATAAGTTTTGTCATTTTTTATTTAATAGATATTAACTGTATAGAACATTGTTCTAATCCCTTTGCATTTATCAACTGAATATTCATTACATGCCGAAGAAATGACTATTGCTATCATGATTATTTTGTAGATGAAGAAACTGAGGCACCAGGGGGTTAAATGACTTGCCTAAAGCACAAAATGACAGTGACATTAACTTGTTCCTGGCTAGAAAGTGGCACATCCTGGGTTGAAACTTAGGTCAACTGGCTCCAAGCCTAGCTCCTCCCCTTCTGTGCTATACTGACAGAGGATAGGAACCTACAAGTTTGACTTTAAGAATAAATGCTCAAAGGACATAAAAGCAAGAAAATATTCTAAAAATCAAACATTCATTATTTTCTTAAAACACATGTACACATATACTCACATACAAAGAAATCCTCACACTCCAAATAATCATTTTATATATTCAAAACTTAAGGACAAACCTTGCCAATTTGATATTTAGGGGAAAAAAAGAACTTAAAACCAAAACATTACTGAGTGATGAGAATATGGGACTTAAACACATTATTGTTTTTAGGTTAAATCTCTAGCTACTTAGTTTTAAAAAAATTCTAAAAAGCCAACTCCTGTAAGAATTATGGCATAAGAAAATGTGTTACCTATACAAGATTAATTGTGAAGAATTCCATGCAATACAAAAATATTTATTTGGGGGCTGGAGAGATGGCTCAGCAGTTAAGAGCACTGGCTGCTCTTGTGAAGGACCTGGGTTCGATCCCCAGCACTCACATAAAGGCTAACAGCTGTCAGTAATTCCAGTTCCAGGGGATCTGATGCTCTCTTCTGACCTCTGTGTGCACTGCAGGACACAGGTACACCTACCTACATGCAATACACTCTACACATAAAATAAAAAAATAAAATATTTTTGAAAATATGCATTTTTATTGTTTAGCATGCATATGAACATATGTCCTCTATTTACCTGTTTAATTTCTTTCTAGTTTAAGGGTCTCTCTTCACCCTCCAGATTATCTATTAGCTAAATAATTTTAGCTTTGTGGTACCCATGGCCTATATACTGTGTTCCCTCCATCCTCCTGATGCTCTGCTGTGGTATCCATAGTGACATCTGTGTTCTTCCTCTGCACATTGGATTTCATACTCACATTCAGAATTCTCCCTATTAGTGCTGAGAAATGACTTTTGAACAAAGTTTTATAGGAATAAAGCATCTTTTATATGGCTGAGATGCTCATGTCAGGCTTCTAAAACATCCTGAAATGGTTATCAGAAAATGATGACAAGAACACCACAGAACAATGAAAATGCCAGGAGACATGAAACGGTGTAGAATAAAAGAGGCCTCTCATTAGCGGGAAAACTCAGGATTGCAGCAACAGCAAGCAGGCAAACACCCCTGCCTCTACTGAATGTCTTAGCCATGAAAGGAAGAGCGTAGCTACTAATGGCATCAGGCAGGAAGTGGCAGAAGCAGCCTTCCATGGAACCCAGCAGCCTGTTCCTTGCTTCCCTGTGTGTGTCTGAGCTATTTTTTGTAGCTTCACTTTCAAATTAACACGTGTCCTTACTGATAGACATTGTGAATGAGGCACTTTCTCCTTTCCAGTATAGCTTAGAGTTCAGATTTAATTACTGTGGGAATAAATGAAGACATGTGCCTTGGGGCATAACATTTTAAATGTTGGCAGAGCTACTATATCAGTTCTGAAAAGTATCAGTCACTTCAGCTTTTTGATGGATGCCGTCCAAATGATTTTAGGGAGACGATTACCAACTAAGAGATCCAGCTAGCCATGGTAGGATAATCAGCTGAAATCTGGAAATACTTTGTTTGGTTATTTACTTAGTTTTACTTTGTATATACTGATAAAACATGTCAAGACGATATCTTCCTCAAGGGTTGCATATGAAATGTGCAGTGCCTTTTAACTCATGTTAAAGAGGCAATGAAATTGTTTTCCAAACATTTGATCAAATAAATTCATGGCCAAATATTCTTTTATTGCTAAAGTCAGTAGTAGGGATGCTTAAAATTAAAAACATGGAGATACAATGAAATGCTTGGTCCTCTAATATGGTACGTGTTTTAAAAATAGCAAAAGTGACCTTAACCTAAAATAGATCTTAAGATATGTGTGATACCTTCTCATACAGTCCAGTGCGCGGATGAAAAAATCTTTGTGGAGTTGGTGCTCATCTCTCAGGATGGAGCATTGTTCCAGTGTCACCGACATTGATGTCCTGTCTTTGGCACTTTTACAGCAGGTGAAACGAATACCATTGAGTTTTCGACAAATCTGTAGACACATATGAAAACAGGTTATCTGTGGAAGCCAAGTGTTTCTACCCTAGCAAATGTGAATATATCACCTTCTCACTCCTAAAGCCAGAGGGCTAGAGCGAACTTATTTATCTTTTTATGTAGGAAGTATGGGACTATCAAGACTAGGATGTGATAGCCCCAGTAGACGAGGGAGGCAGTGGTACCTGATGTGCCTGATTTGCATAGATGTTGATCACAAATCAGCATCACAAGTCCATTAAAAATGAAGAAAACTGAGTGTTGTGTTGAGAATTTTTGCATTTATGTTCATTATGGTTATGGGACTAGAGTTTTCTTTTTTGTTTGTCTTTACGTGGTTTTGGTAGTAGAGTGATAGTGGCTTCATAGAAGGATTTTGAGAGTTCTCCCTCTGGTTCTATCTTTACAAATAATTTAAGAAGTATTGGTTGTAAATCTTTTTTGACTGTATGGTAGAATTTTCCTGTGAATTCGTCTGGGCCTGGGCGTGGGCCTTTTTTAATTGTGAAGTTTTGCATTGCTGTTTCAATTTCATCATTTGTTAGGGGTCTGTTTAAGCTGTAAATCTCATCTTGATTTAGCTTTGGATGTTTCCATGAATTTAGCATATTTATCCATTTCTTTCAGATTTTTAAATTTAATAGAGTATAGGTTTTTAAAGTATTCCCTTATGATGTTCTAGATTTGTGTGTGTGTGTGTGTGTGTGTGTGTGTGTCTGTCTGTCTGTCTGTCTGTTGCGATGCTTCCTCTTTCTTTTCTGATTTTGTTGATTTGGATTTGCTCTTTCTTTTGTTTAACTGGGCTAAGGGTCTGTCTATCTTGTTAATCTTTAAAAAGAACCAACTCTTAGATTCTTTGTATTGTTTCATTTGTTTCTATTTCATTAATTTCTGCTCCGATTTTTGTTACTTCTGCTCACCTCCTAGGTTTGGCTTGGTTTGTTCTTACCTTTCCAGAGTCAAACTGTACTGTCATTTATGTGTCCTTGTTCTGATTTTATTTTTTAATGTAGACACTTGGAGCTAGTTTCCTCTTATGACTGCTTTTAAAATGTCCGAGAGGTTTGTTGTGCTGTATATTCATTTTCATTTCATTTAGTTCCTGGAATGCTTTTTTTTCTTTATTAATTTCTTCTTTGACCCATTCATCATTCAGGAGTGTGTTGTTTAATCTTCATATGTTCATGTAGTTACTAGAGCTTCTTTTCTGTTGATTATAAGCTTTATTATGCTGTGGTCTGATACAATGCATAGAATTATTTGTTTTTTGAATTTGTTGAGGTTTCTGTTATGTAGCAGTATGTGGTTAATTTTAGGGAAACTTCCATAGGCTGTTGCATAGAAAGTGTATTCCTTGGTGTTTGGGTGAAATATTCAGCAGATGACTGTTAGGTCCATTTGATGAATGATGTCATTTAATTCAGATGTCTCTTTGTTTATTCTTTGTCCAGTTGACCTGCCTATTGGTGATAGTTGTTATTGATGTCACCAACTATTACTGAGCTGGGATTAATCCGTGTTTTAAAGTCCTATAGCATTGTTTTTATGAAATTGGATGCACCGGAGTTTGGTGCATATAATGTTCATCATTGTAATATTTTAAAAAGGAAACATTTGCTAAATTGAACTTGTATTTCAAATACCTATAGAAGAGGTCGGGCGTGGTGGCACATGCCTTTAATCTTAGCACTCAGGAGGCAGAGACAGGCAGATCTCTGTGAGTTTGAGGCCAGCCTGGTGTCCATAGCAAATCCATCTCAGCTGGGGCTACAGGGAGACCCTGTCTCAAAAAAATCAAAGAAAAAAAACCTATAGAAGATAAATGAAACACACTGGAAACACTGAATTGGCCACCAGTTACTGCATAGAATAGTGTACTCAGAAGTGCCGTATGAAATTGCATGTAAACTTGATTTCCTTATGAACTTTATATGAACCCTAAAGGAAGCCATAAATAGACTCATTTTACAGATAACAAAACTGAAGTTTATGTAAACTAGGTAATTTATATGGAACAGAGCAGAACCCGACTGTAAATTGGTCTACTTAAGCCCAAATACCATGTTTTAGTGTCTGTACTTCTGTGTTTTCTTCTAATTCTTGTTAATATAATTTAAGTGAGAGAAGAGCCTCTGATCAACAATATCCTCTTTCCCATTGCCTTATGATTAATAGGTGAATTACTCTCTTCCCTGTTCTTCCATTTCATGAAAGACTTTTGATATGAGATACCAATAATAAGTTGAAGCATCAGCAATGCTAATCAATACGCATTTAAGGTAAAATTAATATGATACTTTAAGCTTCCACTTTATTATCCATAAACAAGATCTGAAAAGTGTCTGCTTTGAGAAGAAATATTAAAACAGTTTTTATTAAGGACTTTTCACTGTATTTTAATTGTGATGTGACACTGAAATGTAGAATTATGTCCCTATTAATTCAAATCTTCAGTACCGTTTATTTCTAATGAAAGCATCTATAGAAATAGGAGAGCATGATTTTCCATATAATATTTTTACCCTTAGAATGTTTTAATCTCTTCAAACAAATTGCATTTCACGTTTTTAAGAGCTAACTATATTCACAGTAATAAAATAGACCTTAATGGACATTTTCAAGATATAATATTTAAAAGGGATTAATATTTTTTTAAATGCATTTCTACTATAATATATACCTCTACTGCTTGGATTATTTAGCGTTCCACATTTTAAATCAAGTGGTAGTGGGACAATTTCACCCCAGTAGGCAAGTGAAGTTTTGATTTCTGTATCTTGAAAACTCTTGAACTGCCAAGTTGATTTAGCATACTTCATTAGCATGGCTTTTAAATTTCTCATTTTTATCATTTAAACTAAATCAAGAAAAAAAGTTTTGTGCATTTTTATTAGAATTTGAAACTTTAACAGAAGCAGCATTTTATTAGATATAAAGACAGGAAAAGGGAGAAAATTTGAAAATGTCAAAAGTAATTCCCATATTCATTCTAAGAGCATTGCTAACAACTTTTGTTTATAAATTTGATATTTAAAGTGTGTTATCAGCCTAAAGCAATTCTAGATCATATAATCAATTGCAAGTTGCACAGAAGCCACATTTGATTGGAATATATCATAAAAAGAGTACACAAATGTACAGGATTGTTGGAGAAACTATTTATTAAAGTTGGACAACTAAATATAGTAAGTGAAAATATGTATTTGTGTTTTCATTTATCTGTCATTGTTTTATCATTGTAGATAATTTTACCTCATGTATACAAAACCATATTCATGTGTTCAGAACTTGTTCAGGGGCCTTGCAAATGATCAGACTATCATAATGTTCTCATGTTAAGAACAAAACAAACTCAAGAGCTACCATTGTGAAATTTTGTGAGAATTAGCAACCACAGTGGTCTGTGAAGTAATAAAGAACAGCTGCCTTAGGGGAGCATTATTACAGACTTACATAATATAGTATGGTGCTAAATGGGACCAGTGTGAACAGCCTGTCTGAAAGTAACGTTTCATAATGTTACCTTTGATGCTCTTCCCGATACTTCAGGAAGGCATGAAAGGAAACCAAAGAAACTTTCCTCTGTCTGGTTCTGGTCAATTATCTTATATAGTCTCATGGTAAATTATCATGCCCTTTTCTTAAAAGAGACTAATACTGGTTTATAGACAAAACACTGGTAGTGAAGGCTCATTGATAGAGCATAGAGTGTGCTACAAGCTTGATAAGTTTGAACTCCAAATTATGAGTGACACTGCAGAAATCTCAGGACTAACATTCATCATGGAGGTTTCCAGTGTGCCTTTCCTGATGAAAGGATGCTTTTCTAAAGAAAAGATCTTTGGTTCTGAAGTTTTAATGAAATTCATAAATTTCATATGAGCTCTGTCTCAAGGTTGCCAGACAAGAGCTTAAAAAATACAAGCATGATTTTCTCCCTAAAGCTTATAGAAGTCTGGAGTAGGGAAACAGGCAGATCTTCAACCCTCAGGATTCCATTAAGAGAGAACCATACACAATTCAGCTCATTACCCCATAGCAATCCATCAGTAATAAATTCTATGACAATATCTAAATTAACAAACACATGTACAAGCTCATTAACCGAACAGTATGTCCAGGAGCCTTACTGAAGCTGTAAGTCAGAGACCTGGCAACCCCATTCTGCTGGAATTGCATGTCTCTAGAGCTGAAATTCAAATTTCTGATTGATACGGACCATTGACCTGCATTATCAAGAAAATTACAGATCCTTCATTTTGACCTCAGAGAGACAGCAAACCAAAAGCTCTTTCAATAAAGAAGGTATTTTTCCATTATGAAGGAAACTGTCCCCTTTCCGTTATTCTAGTGTATTGATAAGATGACCAACAAAATGACAAGAATGCATCCCTTAGAAGATGCACCATGGTATCTTGGTATCTAGTAACCAAAGGACAGGGGATAGATCCTGCATCATAAATACTCATTGTGTTTGCTGGTTATGACAACACAGGGAATAAGACTAACAAAAGTGTGCGTACCGTTGCCGCCAGCCACATGATTTCTACATTCTTTCTTTTTTTCACTTGAATATTTTGATGTAGATTGTCTAATAATCCTTGTAAATCATTTTGTTCCTGAAAATGTGAAATATCTAAAGGAAACAAATAAAAGAGATCAACATGAAACAGTGTTAAGAAGTTAAGCATGGACTTTTCTTGCATTCTGTCTTCAAATGCAACATTCAGTATAAGAAATATCTCTTGGAGCAAAGCAGGTATGAGGAACATCATGCTAATCCCTCCAGCTTTCATCCTTTATCTCACCATGTATGTCAGTTTTCAACTCTATTCCATGTAGCTGTGGTAATATTAAGCTGTCCATAAACCACTTTTACAAACAATGAAAATAGTTTTCATGAAAGTGATGGCTCTTCCTTCCCTTTAGCCAAACATAAGCCAAAAATGTATATATATGCCACTAAATGGCTAGTCTGGATGAAGAAAGAGCATATAGAAAATTGAATATCTCAGGTAAGAGAAATCTGAAAGTTCAAGTTAAAACCATTAAGTCTTGTTTCTAAACAGTAACTTTCTCCACTTTGCTGCAAGTGACATTTTCAGTCAGATAAAATTCTTTTATTTGAGAGGGAGGCTACTGTCTATTGTAAGATATTTAACTGCATCTGTAGGCTCTTCTGTTCAGATGCCAGAAGCACTCTTACTATTCTATCTTTACAAAATATATCTGGACATTGGCAAACATTTCTTACAGAGAAAAGTAAGCGCACTGATTGAGAACCATTGCTGTAAAGGAGAACAGATACGACAGGGAAGGGGAGACAGCACAGGAAATGCTTAGTGACACTCGATTCAAGTGATGGGGACAAAAATGGTCCCTAAAAGTTCACAATGCGTAGTATGAAAATGCAGTGTAGAATTGAGATATGAGGACTTTTGAGAGCTCTGACTAAGGCTAAAAAACAGAAGATATATAAAAGCTAAGACCTCATCAGGTTCACCCACTTATGGAGAAGATACAGACTACATATTGTCAATTCTTTTTACAAAATGAACACAAATTTACTTTAAATTCATGGTGATGATAATTTGTATTTGTACTTTGTAAATTTTTTTCCAGATGTTTAATTAGAAAAACAATATATCTGAGTAGGTTTTGACACATTTTCCAGAGAATAGACAAGGTATCTCAATGAACTATACTTGCAATGTGTCAAAGAGTGCAATTGGCTAGAAAGGACATATTCACTGAGAACAATCATATATCACCTGGGATCATATAAGCACAGAATATAGTGCTTCCACTATATATCTGATATATCTTAAGGAAGTGAGATTTAAAATATCTATGTGAGGTATATTCATGATTCTACTATATTAATTCCTAAAATAGTATACATTTCAAAAGTCAAATTTCTCCAGGTGTGATGGTGTGTGCCTTTAATCCCAGCCCTCAGGAGGCAGAGGCAGGTGGATCTCTGTGAGATCGAGGCCAGCCTGGTTCACATAGTGACTTCCAGGTGGGCTAGGACTAGGGAGACCCTGTCAAAAAAGAAGAAAAAACATCAAATCATTATGTTAGTAGAGATGATTCCCAAAAGAAAGTTTAACTCAGAATAGCACATTGCAAATTAGGCAACTCTGAGACAGACATTTATGTGCATATTGACTTGTCTTGTCTCTATATATTTATACAGACAGATAAAAAACTGATTTATGTATTAACTGGTCATCTTTGATTGTGCATTGCCATGTACTTTTCCAACTATGTCTTTGTATCCTTTAAAAGAAGCACATACTCTTCAAAAGTAGTAAAGTCCTTATAAGAGCATTGGAGAAAAGAATACACACATGAGAGAAAGAAAGAGTTTAAAGGCTATGATACAAAGGTCTGTCTTTAGTCTGTACTCTAAGGTAGAACAGATACTCCAGTCCTTATGAAGTATAGGAAAATCTAAAAGTATACTGTGGCTATGACAAGTCAGCAAAGATGACAAGACAAAAGGAGAATGGGAAATTCTAGAATAGGAAGTACACAGGATATCTGTCTGAGGAATAGTTTGGGGCTTCTGGAAGCATTCGAGGTCAGGGGGCAAACATAGCCAAGATATGAACACAGGAGGTAGCGCTATTGAACCTGGGAGTGTGTTAGGCAACATGTCACTATACTGGATGGTTCTAAGGTTAGGGTTGCTATGCTTGGAGGTCTGTGCTCCAGGGCAATTGGTGAGTTTTCAGCTGGGGTTTAGCCACATTTTGAAGGTGTGCTGGGTAACTTCAATTGTCATCCTGGCACATCTGGGTGGAGGGACTCTCAATTGAGGCACTGTCTCCTTTGAATTGTCCTGTGTCCCTATCTGTGGGACATTTTCTTGATTGTTGAGGGATGCGGGAGGCCCAGCTCACTTGTGGGCAACCCCCTGAGCCAATGGTCCTGTGTTATATATGAAAGTAGGCAGAGCATGGGCCAGAGGAACAAGCCAGTAAGCAACATTCCTTCATGGTTTGTGCTTCAGCTCCTACCTCTAGGTTCCTGCCCTGTGTTTCCTTAGTGAGGTACTATGGCCTGGGAGATATAAGATAAAATGTATCCTTTCCTCTCCAAGATGATTTTGATCAGTGTTCTTATCACAATAGAAAGTAACTAGATTAAAGGTCCCTATGATTCTCTGTGAAGCCATGTCATTCAACCATTTCAAAACAAGTATAAAATAGAAAACTTAATTTAGGGCAAGATAAATTCTAGAACTCTAATGTACAATGATTGCAATTACTAATACCTTATTGTATATTTTATATCTTCTAAAGAAATAGATGGTAAGTGTTCATATACACAACACTAGTGTATAACTATTCAATTAATAACTAATTGAAGCTACAGATAAATAGTTTGATTATGGTTATAGCTTCACTATATATATATATATATATACTAATCCATTGAATCTTATACCTTAAATATAGTCTTTAATTATCAAGCATATTTCCATTAAAAATTCATGCCAGTTCCCACAAAGTTCTCATAGCACACACATACACATACCGCACTGTAACAAGACATAAAATAACACTTACTCAGTATACAGACTGCATTCTGTTCTGTTCCTTTTTCATATATTATTTATTTATTTATATAGGATTTCACTATATAGCTTGGGATGGGCTGGAACTTTCTATCTCAAACTCACAGACTATCTCAAATTCACATACTATCTGAAACTCACAAAGACCCATCCAAGTGCTGGGATTAAAGGTGTACCATTATGTCCCACCGCACATGGCCTTGTCTATTTCATTTTTAAATGCTGGTGTCAATCCACCAAAATGATAGAAGAACACATAAAGTCAATATAAAAGTTGTAAAGCACAGATTTGGGGGCACCTCATGTGCAAGACACACAATATAGTTAAGATATTGAATGTCCTCTCAAAGCCATATATTTATATTAGGCTATTCAATATTAAAACGTGGAGCTGCAGGGAAGTAGAAGAACCTTCAGGGTGGGGCCTGGTGGAAGATGGGCCTGGTGGAAGGTGCTTAGGTCAACCTGGGCATACTCTCAAAGAACACTGTTGAACTGGGGCCCCTTCTTTTTCCTTTCTTTTGTTTCCTTCCAGAACATGATTCTTCTCCAACATTTACTCACGCCATGATGTTTTGTCTTGTACTAGGTGCCAAGCAATGAAGTCAACTAATCATAGCCTAGAATATCAGATTTAAACTCGTTCTCTTTACAAATAGGTTATCTGAGTTATTTTGTTATAGTAAATTTAAACAATGTGTGATTTTTTTTTTTTCAAAAGGTTTATAGAAGAAAAGCAAAGCCTACAGTGTAGTCTCTCAGATCTGGGTACAGCAATTTCCCCAAATATTGTATTTGTGTCTTTACAGGTAGATGGAGGTGGTACAAACAACTTTGGCATCTTTACAATGGACCAACATATTTGGATGGATGGGATTCTAGAACCAAGTATAATACCTATCAAAACGATTTAATTGTATTGCTAATATGAGATTTTAAAATAAAGCCATTTGAAAACAAACTGTAAGTTTCTTAGATGTAAGCCAAACAAGTGGTCATCATTGGCCTGATGACTCTTGAAATTCTACTTTTACCTCATGGCTTGCAATAAGAAGGAAGTCATGCTGAGAGCCTTTAAATTTCCAGGCTCTTCCTCTCCTCCCCTTCCTTCCCTCTCCTCCCCTTTGCTTTCAGTCTCCCACCTCTTCTTTCAACTCTCCTTCCTTTCTTGGTCCCTGTCCCCTCCCCTCCAGTTCCCTGCCCTTCCCCTCCCTCCCCACCCTCTCTCTATTTTCTTTTTATATACTAAAGGTCAAATCGTGGGCCTTCCATATACTAAGCAAGTGCTCTCCAACTGAACTGCATCCCAGCCCCCTATTTCTTTTTTTATTTTTATTTTTATTTTATCTGTTTGAGTATATTGCCTGCATGAATGTAAGTACACCCATGTTCTACAATGCCCAAAGAGTTCAGAGGAGGGTGTGGGATACCCTGGAACTAGAGTTATGGACGGCTGTTAGCTGACATGTGGATGCTGGGAATGGACCCTAGGTCTTCTGTAAGAGTAGCTAGTTCTCTTAACTGCTGAGCCATCTCTCCAGCCCCAACTAACACTCTATTTCTATACTAATTTTTTCAACCTGATAAAAATCCTACTGACTGACCCTTCCATCCCCCCCGCCGTTCTATACTCCTAGTTTGGGCCCTGCACCATTCCTAGTCTTGGGGCCCCAGACACCCGGGGAACCAATACTGCTTCCTGATCCTTCTCACCCAGACCAACTCAGTCCCTTTCTTGGGCCCCAGGAGTACCGCTTCTGGTCCTGGCCCCACCCACACCTCTCTCTGCTTCCCTGGGCTTGCACCACTGGCTAACTCTCCTAGCCTGCACTACTATCCTCAGGCCTCTTGGGGTAAGTCTATAGTGCAGCCCTCTGTGCCAGGACTCCCTAAGCCACATTCATCCTTCCATCCCCCCTGCTGGTCTATACTCCTAGTTTGGGCCCTGCACCATTCCTAGTCTTGGGGCCCCAGACACCTGGGGAACCAATACAGCTTCCTGATCCTTCTCACCCAGACCAACTCAGTGCCTTTCTTGGGCCCCAGGAGCA